CTCACGAGAACCCAACTATACTGGCACCCTTGATAGACTTCCCAGTCTAAAACTGTAAAAAAAATAAATGTTTTTAAATTTACCCAATCTGTGGTATTTTGTTAAAGCAGCCTGAACTAAGTCAAAAGGATTAACACTGAGAATAGAAAAATTAATTTGATGATTAGATAATCATTTATGACTTTGAAGAAAGAATTTCCAAAGCCTGAGGCACAAACTAGATTATGAACACTTAAGAAATGAGTGGCTGATGAGGAAGTGTAAATACATCACAAAATGAAAAGTGAACAAATTGCTTAAGAGATTAAGAGCCTACTCTAGACGAAGCACTACGGCTAGGCACCAGGGTCAGCCTCATGGGTGTATGACAGGACATTCCACACAGGGTGCTAGGCTCTGGAGAGTCCTGGTTTAGCTTGATGCTCTGATGTCACAGTCTTGAAATTCTTACTAATTTTTGAACAAGGGGCCCTGCATTTTCATTTTGCACTAGGCCCACAAATTATGCAATAGGTACTCCTGAAAGGGACCCAAAATATTTCATTCATTGTTCATTCACTTATTTATTTATTTATTTATTTATTTTTAAAGATTTTATTTATTTATTTGAGAGAGAGAGAGAATGAGAGAGCACGTGAGAGGGGGGAGGGTCAGAGGGAGAAGCAGGCTCCCCGCTGAGCAGGGAGCCCGATGCGGGACTCGATCCCGTGACTCCAGGATCATGACCTGAGCCGAAGGCAGTCACTTAACCAACTGAGCCACCCAGGCGCCCCATTCACTTATTTATTTTTAAAGATTTTTTTTTTAATTTATTTGACAGAGAAAGAGAGCGAGCACAAGCAGGGGGAGCTGCAGGCAGAGGGAGAGGTTAGAAGCAGGCTCCCCACAGGGCAGGGAGCCCGATGTGGGGCTCGATCCCAGGACCCTGAGATCATGGCCTGAGCCAAAAGCAGATGCCAAACTGAGCCACCTGGGCACCCCTCATTCACTTTTTTATTCAACAACAAATGAATTGCCTACTATGAGTTACCCACTCTTGTAGTTTTTGGTGACATGATGAAAGAAGTAGTGAACGTGACAGATACATGACAGAAAATCTTTTTTTTTTTTTTTAAAGATTTTATTTATTTGAGAGAGAGAGAATGAGAGAGAGAGAACACATGAGAGGGGACAGGGTCAGAGGACGAAGCAGACTCCCTGCCGAGGAGGGAGCCCGATGCGGGACTCGATCCAGGGACTCCAGGATCATGACCTGAGCCGAAGGCAGTCGCTTAACCAACTGAGCCACCCAGGCGCCCTTTTTTTTTTTTTTTTTAAAGATTTTATTTATTTATTTGAGAGAGAGCACATGAGAGGGGGGAGGGTCAGAGGGAGAAGCAGACTCCCCGCCGAGCAGGGAGCCCGATGCGGGACTCGATCCAGGGACTCCAGGATCATGACCTGAGCCGAAGGCAGTCACTTAACCAACTGAGCCACCCAGGCGCCCATGACAGAAAATCTTTTAAGAAAAAGTTGTTACTTTCAAGAATATTAAAATGTACAAACAGCTATGACATAACATTCCACCTCAACTCCTCAGCTGTAGGGCCTATTTGACCCTGATCAATTTATTCAACTTCCTAAGTCCTAGTTTACTCACCTAAAAAATGGCAATAATAGGACCTACTCCTAAGGTTGTTAAGCAAATTAAATGAGATCAGGAATAGAAGGTGCTTAGAACAGTGCCCGGTATATGGTGCATGTTCAAAAATGTGACTATAGGGGCGCCTGGGTGGCTCAGCTGGTTAAGCCTCTGCCTTCAGCTCAGATCCTGATCTCAGGGTCCTGGTATGAGGCCCCTGCCTCTGACAGCGTGAGATCCCTGCTCAGCAGGGAGTCTGCTTCTCTCACTCCCTCTGCCCCTCCCCTGCCTGTGCAAGCATGTGCACACCCACTCTAATAAATAAATAAAATCTTTTAAAAAAATGTGACTATAATGAATTTCCAGTACTTAGCTGTGCCTGGCACATAGTTAGAGTTCAATAAATGACTGGCTTATTAAGTGGGGGTAAAATGAAAACTTCAGATCAATCTGGATAGTTTGAAATATTTTTGTATAAATGAAACAGTTACGGTTACATATATATATTCATATATTTATTTATTTGAGAGAGAGTGCGCGCACACACAGGAGCAAGGGGAGGGTAGAAGAAGAAGGAGAAGCAGACTCCTGCTGAGCAGGGAGCCCCAAGTGGGGCTCTATCCTAGGACCCTGAAACTGTGTCCTGAGCTGAAGGCAGGCATTTAACTGACTGAGCCACCTGGGCATCCCATATACATTCATGTATTTTTAATGTATTCATTAGGTATAGAAGAAAACATAAGTGGAATTTTGTTTTGTTTTACTTTATACATTCCTTATTTAAAAACTAAGATTTAAAAAAAAAACAAACCAAGATTTTAGGGGCACCTGGGTGGCTCAGTCAGTTAATCGTCTGTCTTTGGCTCAGGTCATGATCCCTGGGTCCTGGGATCGAGCCCCGCATCGGGATCCCTGCTTGGTGGTGGTGGCGGGGGGCTGCTTCTCCCTCTCCCACTCCCCCTGCTTGTGTTCCCTCTCTCGCTGTGTCTGTCAAATAAATAAATAAAATCGATTAAAAAAAAAAACCAAGATTTTAGGAAAATAAAGCTATTATTATATTCTGAATATAGTGGTGGGTAACAAAGCTTATAGTATATTACAATTCCTCCTTTCTAAGAATTACCTTCCTCGGGCGCCTGGGTGGCTCAGTTGGTTAAGTGACTGCCTTCGGCTCAGGTCATGATCCTGGAGTCATGGGATCGAGTCCCGCATCGGGCTCCCTGCTCGGCAGGGAGTCTGCTTCTCCCTCTGACCCTCCTCCCTCTCATGTGCTCTCTCTCATTCTCTCTCTCTCAAATAAACAAATAAAATCTTAAAAAAAAAAAAAAAAAGAATTACCTTCCTCTTCCAAAATATTTTCAATCTATTTCCATTCTCTTTTTGTTCTGACTCTGCCATAATTTGCTATTCATCTTAGAAAAAATTAACTCCTTGATCTGCAGAACAACTTTCTCATTCATAAAATGAGGCACACAATCTAGGTAGTGCTTCACAACTACTGAACTTTGGCTTGCCGGTGTCCTGAATGTGGATTAAGGAACTGACCTCTCCTGCAATGGGGCAGTTGAGAGGGGTCAGGGAGAGCCAGAGCTCCCTGGGTCAGTACCTCTGGCCCCGAGCCACCTTGTTCAGGTCTCCTTAGAGCAGCCTGTGCAGAGCAGTCTGGGATGTATGCCAAAGCAGCAGCAAGCACTGTGGACAATAACCAGCAGTTACAGTCCTGCTGAGTATGCATGGCCAAGGAGATGCCTATCACATGGGCATCCATATGCAAAGCACTTCACTGTCCATAATGGACCAGAGAGATGTTGGAGCCAATGCTCAAGCTTGTGATCCAGATATCCAAGGGACAGAGCACACAGTCTCAAGGGCAGTCTGTTAGAGGGTGAAAGAGGAGTCTGGGCAGAGTGGGGTTTCCGGTGGGCTCAACTCCAGGCAATGCCCTTAATATTTTTCTTAACATGTAGTGGCTATTTCTACCCTTTGTAGCAATGCACTCTTTTTTTGATGCCCAGGCTAGCTGTTGACAATGCACGCATGTTCTGAAAGCTAGAGTTTCAATGTGGAAATCCAGATATAAAAATATACTATTGGGTTCCAAACCCATTTGCATTATCTTATGAAATTGCAATATTACATCTGTCAGTAAAAGAAAAGGAAGAGTAGTTACTCTTTACATATAAGTATAACTAAATTCTGAATGGTTGTATACAATGGTTTTAAATATTTTATCACCCACTTATGTGATCAGAGTCCCTCACTGATAATTACTATTCGGAATATGAAAAGTTTATCATTAAGAAATTTAGATCAGGGCGCCTGGGTGGCTCAGTTGGTTGAGGTTCTGCCTTTGGCTCGGTGGTGATCCCAGGGTCCCGGGGTCAAGCCCCACATCGGGCTCCCTGCTCAGCAGGGTGCCTGCTTCTCCTTCTGCCTCTCCCCCGACCACGTCCCCCCCACTTGTATTCTCTCTCTCACTCTCTCTCTCAAATAGATAAATAAAATCTTTAAAAAAAAATTTAGATCAGAAACTGCATAAAGTCACTTCAACTATAAAACCTAGTATCAAAATATATTCATAGAAACAAGTTCCAAGTTGATCATTAAAAAATGTGGAAAAATTTGATTTATTCAAATGCAATTTTTAATATCTTCTCTAACACATTGTAATTTATTTTATCATTACATAAAGACAATGCTATGAATTTTTTTTACCATAGTTTCGATGCTTCCAAATCTTGTTTATGTAACCTAGTGTGCTGTGCAAAAATTATCATTTTCTGTATGTGCTGTGATATGAAAGAAGTTGAGAGGCCCTGATATTATTTATAAAGTGTGTCTGCCACCTCATCTCACCCTAGGACCCTTGTCCCCTGCCTCCCACCCCATATACTCTCTTTCTCTATCTCTCACATTTTTTTTTCTTTTTTAAGATTTTATTTATTTATTTGACAGAGAGAGAGACAGAAACAAGCAGGGGGAGTGGGAGAGGGAGAAGCAGGCTCCCGGCCAAGCAGGGAGCCCGATGTGGGGCTCGAGACCAGGACCCTGGATCATGACCTGAGCCAAAGGCAGATGCTTAACGACTGAGCCACCCAGGCGCCCCTATCTCTCACATTTCAAAGAGAGCCAGGGCTACAGGGGTAGATAGCGGCCAAGGTTCAAGTCTGTATCCAACAGGGTCAAGAACTCCAGCATGGATATTTCTTTGAGATACCATGTGGCTGCAGGGCTGGAGGGCAAGCTTAGACAAAAGCATAAAAAATAGCTAATGTCTAAAAATCACAGAGTCTGGATGAACAACAAACCTTGACAAATCCAAAGAGAGGAATCTACATTTACTGAAGGACAAAAGATGAGAATAAATGGACTGACATACCATGCTCCTGGATGAAGTACTTGGTATCGCATCTCCCATCGTTTCTCATATGAATATAAGAATTTAATACAATTCAGGGACGCCTGGGTGGCTCAGTCGGTTAAGCGTCTGCCTTCGGCTCAGGTCATGATCCCAGGGTCCTGGGATTGAACCTCATAGCGGGATCCCTGCTCAGCGGAGAGTCTGCTTCTCCTTCTGCTCTTTCTCTAATAAAAAAAATAAATAAATAAATAAATAAATTTAATACAATTCAAAAAGAAAGAATAATAGCAAATTATGATTATTATTGATTAGAAATAACTTGGTTAGGAAACATCCCCTATAGTGAAGCCAAGTGATCAGTCTTCTTGATCACCCTTGAAGCACCTCTTAGGTACCTTGATGTGGATACCATCTTGCTAAGGTCTTTAACTTTGTGTTCTTCTAAGTACTCAGAATTGATGAAGTTATGCATGACTATTCCACAGTAATCACAATAATCAAACTCACAAAGCCTTGATGTATAAACAAAACACTAAGGGTATACATTTTCTGAACGTCTTAACTACTATTGTTGGCTATCAGGCGTACCTGATAAGAATAGGTAATGGTTTGCTTGTGATATACGATCATAGTAACAGGAGGAGGCTGGTTTGGAGAGTTATTTCATCCAAGTTATATTAAGGCCTGGTGACTGGTTTCTGCCGCAGAATAGAGTACTTCTTGTTCACGTCTCCCAAATAAAACACCTGTTCTGCTTGGCAGTGGTAGATAAATATCAACAAATTCTTATTACTCTGTGTTCCCTTTTCCAAACTCCAAACCGACCATTCCCCATTTGTTTATTTATTTATTTGAGAGAGAGAATGAGAGAGAGAGAGCACATGAGAGGGGGGAGGGTCAGAGGGAGAAGCAGACTCCCTGCTCATCAGGGAGCCCGATGCGGGACTCGATCCCGGGACTCCAGGATCATGACCTGAGCCGAAGGCAGTCGCTCAACCAACTGAGCCACCCAGGCGCCCCCATTCCCCATTTGTTAACACAAACTGTTTTTCAAGCAATTTATAATATATTTGCTTTGATTTCTAATCTTTCCAAGGGAGGGCTTGATCAATTCCTAAAGGAGCTGCTCTTAAGGACTGCTACATTAAAATACAGGGCATTTCTAAGCAGGTCAGGGAGACTCGTAAATTGTGGTCACTTTTATCAGTACCTCTGTTTAAATATGGATCCGTAGATTATGTACAGCTCTCACAGGTGTTGGAGATCACCTAATTACACCCCCAGTTTCATTAAAAAAACTAAAGCTCAGTAAGGTCGAATGATTTAAAATTACTTGGCTAGATCAAGAAAGGATTATTAGATCTCTGGTTTTTAACTCTTTTATCTCGTGCGTTTTATTTCGAGACCGAGTTGGAAACATTAAGGTAAAAATCACTCGCACATAGGAAGCCTATCTGGCCATCCTTTTAGAAATCTTGTAAATCATTTCTTAAATTAAATCCGCGAGAACAGCTGCTTCAGCTCTTTCCACAGTAACCAGAAGTTAGTAAACAGTGGCGACAGATTTCTTGAGTTCGGTGAGTACTTAATGAACTGACCTCGACCAGTTCTGCCTCAGCTCATTAAGGGTGAAATTTCACTATATCAGGCGCATTTTTGAGGCCTTTCCAAGGTGCCCATGATTCATGTCAGTCGGGGTCGCAGAAATGTTCTGTGCGGGCCCTCACAGTGGGCGTCGCAGTCACAGAACTTGGTCTCCGGCATCCGGAAACGTGTGAGGAGACGCCGAGGGGCCCAGAGGGCTTTCTTGCAACCTTTAAGTACAAGAGAGAAAAGTGGGGTTTTATTCAGGCACGGGAAAGAAATGAATTCGTAAATGAACACCGGGAGGCCTACGTGGGGGAGGGGAAAGAAACGCGAGAAGAAAGAGAAAGGCTTTTTTTCCTCCGGTGACGAGCGGTCACAAGGCGTTCTCCCGACGTGGACGCTCGCCATTGGCTGAGTCCGAGCTGGCGTCACCGCAGCAACCCAGGCGCGAACGGCGGAAAGGGCGGCACCGCACTGGAAGTTGGCTAGGCCCGCGCGCTCCCGCAGCCCGGCCCGCCCCCGCTCCCCGCCGGCCAACCCGCTCGTCCATTCTCTCTTCGCGCCCAGTTGGCCACGCCCCCTTCCCAACTCGCCCCTCCCCCACCAGCACGGCGGCGCGCGGAAAGCGCGTCACGTGATTACTAGCCCCGCCTCTTCCTCTCGGTCCCATATTGAACTCGAGTTGGAAGAGGCGAGTCCGGTCTCAAAATGGAGGTAAAACCGCCGCCCGGTCGCCCCCAGCCCGACTCCGGCCGTCGCCGCCGCCGCCGGGGGGAGGAGGTATTAGGGGGAGAGCGGGGGGTTGATGGGTAGTGGCCGGCGTGGGGGGCCTAGCTCGGTGGGAGCGGGGAGGCCGGGTGGACCGGATCGGCCGTCCCGCGCTCTGCGTTGAGACGGGCGGTGGGGGGGGGGAGGGGAGCGGGCCTCAGAGGCTTTCTTGGGGCCCCTCGCCCTCCTCGCCTTCTCCTTCGGCTGCACAAGTGGCCCCTCGGAGGCGCTGCGTGGCTGGGGAGACCTCGGGAGGGGACCCGGCCTGCCGGCCGCGCGGCCTCTGATTCGAGGCCGAGGGCGGCATGGCGGGCCCCGGCGGGAGCGGTTGGGAGGAGACGGTGGGGGAGGGGACGAGCAGTCACATCCGGGCGAGCGAGCGAGCAGGCGGGCGGCGGCCACATTGACATTGATCGGCTGCCGCGTTACGAAATGGCGCATTGAGCCGCAATGGCCGCCGGCTCGCTCCGCCGCCGGGAAAGAGCGCGGGATTGGAAGGAAGAGGGAGGAGGCGGCCCGGCAGAAAATGCCACAAATGGCCTCGGATCTTGCGGCCTACTGCTTTCGCTGAAGTTAATGCCGGGGCGTTTCTAGTCCTTTCAGATCTCTTAAGGCGACGAGAATTTAATTCTCCTGTTTTTTTCTTCGCAGTACCCAGTTGATAATACGAAATTTTTTTTAAAAAGTTTGCTGCTTTAAAATACTCCCTGATCTGGTATTCTTGCTAAAGTACTTATACGTATTTTAGCGCCATGTGGGTCGACTCGTTGTAGTTTTTTTGGATTTTTGTTTGAGAGGACTGCAACCACAGTTGAATTTTTCATGTGTTTGAGATAATTTTATGTGGATTATAATTGTTTTTTCCATCTGTGTTCTATCGATTAAATACAGTTAACCACGATTTGAAAAGATGATACCAACTGAATTGATGCTTTAGGCTATTAATCATTTAACATTTTTTTCTAGCATGTGACAGTCTTTTCATATTAAATGCCTTAACATCTCTACTTTGGAAGACACGAAGACATTAGAATGTAAATGTGAGCCCCTTTATTTAAGGAATTTGGATGAACTATACTTAATGCATGCATTAAATGGCAGTTCATGTAATTTACTGAGGAGCTAGTTGAATTGCGAAACAATTCAGGCTGTATCTTAATTTTTTTAAAATCTGTTTCTGTTGTGCTCCATTGTCAAAAAGTATATACTACATTTAATAGAAGTGCAACTTGCCTTTTTTGTGACCCTATAAGATGTTTTTGAAGTTTCTGCCCTGTGATACAAGTGCAAATAGGTAACTTTACAGTATATAACCTAAAACGTAAATTGGTTACAGAAAGCTATCAAGGTAATGGTCGGTTTCTTTTTGTAATTTTGGGGGGGGGGGTGATGGTTCAGCCTTTAATTGAGGAATACCTATTTTAACCTTGCTTTGCTTGAAACTGTTGAGTTTTTTAAACTTTGGCCCTCAGAACCTTTAAGTTACATACTGAACAGTTTTGTAGTTCAACATTAAATGTTTGAAGTGTAGACTGATGAGGGAAGACGTGAAAAATGGCATGGATGGAACACTACTTTTACAGCACTTTGGTTTCTTGAAGAGCAGTTCGTTAGTAGCAACTTGTAAAATAATTTGTCCCCAGATGCTTTTAGTTGTAGTCTAAAGTTAAAGGACTTTTGATTCTGGAATTTTCGGGACATTTAGTTAAAGTGATGTTGGCATTTGAAAGGCTGTATAGATTTAATCAGTTGACATGTGATCTTACTCCAGTTTTTAATTGGACAAAGTGTTAATGGTACAGGAATTTGATGCTGGGTTTATTATTTGTAGCAGATTAAAGACTTGTGCCTCTCAGCAATTCACCTGCTAAAAGAAATAATTAAAACGTATTTCTTTCCTCAGGGCCATGATCCAAAGGAACCAGAGCAGTTGAGAAAACTGTTTATTGGTGGTTTGAGCTTTGAAACTACAGATGATAGTTTAAGAGAACATTTTGAAAAATGGGGTACACTTACAGATTGTGTGGTGAGTTACTAATGGAACAAAAAAGGTTGTTAAGGGGTGTAGGACCTGTACAGATATATTTCAGTACTTAAAAATTTTTGTTTTGTAGGTGATGAGAGACCCCCAAACAAAACGTTCCAGGGGTTTTGGTTTTGTGACTTACTCTTGTGTTGAAGAGGTGGATGCAGCAATGTGTGCCCGACCACACAAGGTTGATGGGCGTGTAGTGGAACCAAAGAGAGCTGTTTCTAGAGAGGTATTTTGATGATATTAATGCTGTGTAATATGTGAGATTGTTGGAGAATTTGGTTTTTGACTTTTTTTTTATTTGTAGGATTCTGTAAAGCCTGGTGCCCATCTAACAGTGAAGAAAATTTTTGTTGGTGGTATTAAAGAAGATACAGAAGAATATAATTTGAGAGACTACTTTGAAAAGTATGGCAAGATTGAAACCATAGAAGTTATGGAAGACAGGCAGAGTGGAAAAAAGAGAGGATTTGCTTTTGTAACTTTTGATGATCATGATACAGTTGACAAAATTGTTGGTAAGTAGAAATTTATTGGGACTTGAATGAGAAAAGAAAAGGTCCCTTTGTGCTATGTTAGATTTGCCAAATTGCTCATTTTGTATTGCATTTAATAGCCTATAAAGCATGTGGTTCAGTTTTCATAAATGACATTTTAGAACACTGATTCCCACTCAAAGTCACTACTTTTTTTTTTTTTTTTTAAGATTTTATTTATTGATTTGAGAGAGAGCGAGCATGAGAGGGGGGAGGGTCAAAGGGAGAAGCAGACTCCTTGCCGAGCAGGGAGCCCGATGCGGGACTCATTCCTGTGACTCCAGGATCATGACCTGAGCTGAAGGCAGTTGCTTAACCAACTGAGCCACCCAGACGCCCAAAGTCACTACTTTCTTGATGATACTTTGTTATGTAGTGATAGAGGTTATCGTTTATATGTGCTTTTCCAAACCTCGAATAATTTGTTTGTTTGTTTGATTAAAAAAAATTTTTAGTTCAGAAATACCACACTATTAATGGGCATAATTGTGAAGTGAAAAAAGCCCTTTCTAAACAAGAAATGCAGTCTGCTGGATCACAAAGAGGTGAGTAGTACAATATATATACATAAAATAGGTGTGAGTGGCATTTGTAAAGTTTTTAAAGCTCTCCCTTGCCCATGTTAAAGGTCGTGGAGGTGGATCTGGCAACTTCATGGGTCGCGGAGGAAACTTTGGAGGTGGTGGTAACTTTGGCCGTGGTGGAAACTTCGGTGGAAGAGGTAAGAGGATTATCTTTGATTGTTTTCCTGAAATTTATTGGTAAGTTGTATATTTTTAATTCCTGTCTTTTTCTCAGGAGGCTATGGTGGCGGAGGTGGTGGCAGCAGAGGTAGTTATGGAGGAGGTGATGGTGGATATAATGGATTTGGAGGTGATGGTAAGTTTTTAACGGATGTTTGACATTTTAATTTTGTTTCTATACTTTTTGGAAAGTTACATATTTGTTTATATTTTTAATTTTAGTTATAACTTGCATGGCTTGACTACATTCAAATTGATTCTGAACTAATACCATGGAAGACTAGACTCTCGCACCCCCCCAATAAATTTGTAACATTAGTTAGTTCCCTTTTTTTTTTTTTTTAACATTTTATTTATTTGACAGAGACACAGCGAGAGAGAGAACACAAGCAGGGGAGTGGGAAAGGGAGAAGCAGACTCTGGCTGAGCAGGGAGCCTGATGCGGGGCACGATCCCAGGACCCTGGGATCATGACCTGAGCCGAAGGCAGATGCTTAACGATTGAGCCACCCAGGGGCCCCTAGCTAGTTCCTTTTTTGGTCAGAAACGTTGTGCTAGCATTTGAGCTGAATTGTCTGTCTCAGGAGACTGTTTACTATTTTATTTAGTGAACTTTAATGTCTAAAAACAACAATTTTTTTTAGTATGAAAAGATATTTAAGCATTCATCTTAATCCTCACTAGGTCAGGATTTTTGTTTTTGTTTTTTTAACTTTAATTATTTTGACAGAACACAAGGCAGGCAGGTTGGGAGGGAATGGCAGAGGGAGAAGGAGAAGCAGGTTCCCCACTGAGCAGGGAGCCTGATGTAGGGCTCAGTCCCAGGACCCTGGGATCATTACCTGAGTGGAAGGCAGACGCTTAACCGACTGAGCCACCCAGGTGTCTCTAGCCCAGGTTTTTGATGCTTTGTTAATGAGGGTAGTGCCAGTCTTTAGAATGTTAAGTCATTGGTTTATTTTCAAGTTGACGAGTTGTAATATAGAGTTCAATAACTTGACTTTATACGTTTATGTTTTTGTGACTCCCCCCCCCTTTTTTTTTTTTTTAAGGTGGCAACTATGGTGGTGGTCCTGGATATAGTAGTAGAGGAGGCTATGGTGGTGGTGGACCAGGATATGGAAACCAAGGAGGCGGATATGGAGGTGGTGGTGGAGGATATGATGGTTACAATGAAGGAGGAAATTTTGGAGGTGGTAAGCTTTCACTTGTTCTAAATATTCAAAATTGTTTTAACTTCAAAAATGTTAAAATGTAGCATTTGGTCAAATAATAATATTAGAAAATACTCAAATGATGAATGATTGAACTGAATTTTCTTGCTTTGCTGGCTATTTAGCAAATGGTAAAGCATGTTCACTTTTTATGTAATTGAAATGGACGTTTTTCAGTAATGTATTTTGCTAGTATTTAGTGCTAATT